GCAGAATGCGGGTTTTTGTCTCTCATTCGAGTTTAGGGAGCATAAATAGAGGTTTAGGGAGAGAAACCGACGAACAAAGATCCTTGAGTGCCCTAGATCAAGTTTCCCATCATTGGAGCTCGATACAAGCCTCGACGAGTGACGATTGACAATCCGTAGCAGATTTCTTCCTTCTATACGATGATTTATACATCGGACATGGCTTTACTCTCTCTTTCTCTCTATGGAGTAATCTCCTCTACCACTTGGGTATGAAGAACCCTAGTTTTGCATGTTATGAGCAGTTGTATGAACCCTTTTCAATACATTGATGATTATATATCCAATTGAAGTTTTATTCAGAAATCTATGAGTCTTGATCACACTTGTATGTTTTCAGGTTTGACCTAGAACGTTAGAATCAGAATAGGCCAATAGAGCATCTTGATTTGGAAGTGGTGAATCGATTGTGCGAGATTCAATCGATTCACTGCTCTATACTGGGATTCATTCCAGTAGCGGAGATATTTTTTTTTTTGCCTTAGTACTTTATATCGGTGAAGGTTAGTCACCTGCCGGGTAATGTGTCTGAGAGGGTTTAGTCAGTTTAAGGGATTCCAAGCTAGGTCTGAATCTTTCGTAGTATAAATTTAAATTGAATTGGACTGGGTGAATTAGAACTCGACTTAACTGCAGGCTATGGGGAATCATTTACTGCTTTCTGTTTTATTTTCTTTGCACACTTCACTCAGCTTTTCCCTTTAGATAATAGATAATCACGGAGTAGGCAGTACATCTAGGCCCCGGGTTAACTTTTATTACTTGTCCCACTATACTGCCTTTCCATTCTACGATTACACTTGGTTGTAGTTTGATGTTGTGTTTTAGCGAGTCAAGTTTTTGGCGCCGTTGTCGGGGAACTTATAGGTTATTCTAACGTGAAGATATGTTACTTTAGCATTTACTTTTATGTATTTGTTTTCCTTCCCCTATTTGCCTTCACGGATTGTGCCTACAATCTGTGTGCAGGTAGTGCATGACACGAGGTCTACTACTGGACCGCCAGGGGCAGCAGACATGAGGTCCATCATCCAACACGCTCAAGTTTCTACCAATAACTTTGAGATGAGCACCTTTCTTATCACCGTGTTGAGAGGTTCAGTGATGTTCCATGGGAAAACAGACGAGTGTCCTCGCGAGCACCTGCGACGATTCCACGAGTTGATTGATGGGATCAAGATAAATGGGTCCCTCAAGATGCCATCCAGTTGCGATACTTCCTATTTACTATGGAGGGACATGTCAAGTTGTGGCTGGAAAACCGGCCTCCCGGGTCAATCACACCATTCACAATTTTGCCAACAAGTTCCTGACCCTCTACCATCCCCCTTCTAAAATAGCAGACCTACAGAAAGAGATCACCCATTTTGCCCAGGAGGAGGACGAGACTATCCTTAACGCTTGTGAGAGATACAAAAGTCTCTTCCTGAAGTGTGTTAACCATGGTTTCAATGATGCCTTCAAAGTAGGTACAATCTATCAGTCTTTCTTTCCTGAAGATAAGCAAATGATCGACTCGGTTTGTGCCAGAAGAACACACATGCTATTCATGGATAAGACCTCAAGTAAATTCTTGGTGTTTAAAGCTGGACAGAGGAACACATAGGCTATTCTGTAAGATATCCAGACCCAACTTGGGAGTGTGGCTAAAGCTGTGGCAGAGAGGTCTCTGAGTACTCTTCATGGTCATACCCTCCCCAAGCTTGCAGATCCAGATGCTCACTTGAGTACCATCACTACAAGGAGCGGGAAGGTGACTGCTGACATACCCGTCCAGGCCAGGCAGGAGGAGAAGAGACCTGCTTCAGCACTTCTAGCAGAGGAGGAAGAAATGGAAAAGAAGAGTGAGTTGTCTGCTCCTAAGCCACAACTAGTGGTGAAAGAGTATGTCCATCAGCTTTCTTTCCCTATTCGGTTACACATAGACCGACTGAAGACTGAGTTTGCCAAACTCATGGCAATGCTGAACCATGTGAACATTAGTATGCCTTTCGTTGAGGCATTGTCAAAGATGCCCAAGTATGCTAAGTTCATGAAGGATATCCTCACCAACAAGATGAAGCTTGAGGACCTGTCGACCATGATGCTCAACGAGAAGTGTTCTGCCATCCTGCAGAACAAGCTACCAAAGAAATGAAAATACCCACAAAGGTTTACTATCCCTTGCATAACAGGTAGCTTGCATGTAGGAAAGTCCCTTATGGATTTAGGCGCTAGCATTAGTCTCATTCCATATAAATTGTTTAAAAAGCTATGCCTAGGTGAACCCACTAACACTAGGATGAGCATACAGTAAGCGGATAGATCTATTGTACATCCTAGGGGTATTGCAGAGGACTTGATAGTCGTAGTAGGGCCACTCTCATATCCTGTTGATTTTGTTATTCTTGATATTAATGAGGATGTGGATGTGCTATTTATTATGGATAGACATTTTCTCGCCACCGCCAAGGCGCTTATTGATGTTAATGATGGTAACTGATTTTGAGCGCTGGAGGGAGGGGGGGGGGGGGGGGAACAAATCACCTTCTCTGTTTCTAATAACATGAAACACCACAAGCTCCATGATGATTTAGGTTACTGCGATGTGATTGCCCAATTTGAGACTTAGTCTGCGGATTAGAAATCTAAGTTCGGGAGTACGGTTACATGTGGGGAAGTGAAATTACACCCCACAATGCCCAAAATTGGTACTACTTAAGTTGATAAGTGTTTATGAGTGGGGTGTATTTTTAATAATAATTTTGTATTTTTAGGTTTTCACTTGACCATTAATATGTTGTATTAGTAGATGATTTTTTATACATCCACTGACCTACAATTTAAAGATAAAAGTTAATTAGTTAGTTGGACTCGAACCCTTTGGTTGCCTACGTACCCGTAATACGCAATCAAAGTCTACGTAGTTCGTTAGTAATTAAGTTATGACCACGTTCCACAGATCGAGGATATATAAAAAAAGATTTTGTTTAGTTTTGAAATATGAAGAATGATTTTGCGTATTTGAAAAGAATGGAATTAATCTAACTTGAATATTATTTCATGTACAGAATTTTGTATTATGAATACTTTAAAATACAAAATGAAATAGTAAAACTAGTTCGAAGCCGGACTACCCAATTATTTTCAATTTTCGCTACAGATGAAAGAGGGGGCAATTCCGTAAATAGCAACAAATGTGGTGGCAAGGCCTCGTAAGTATCATGAAAATTTTGGGTAATCATTTAGGGGACTAGATACTATAACAACACTCCTTGTGTTGTTATTGTAACAACACTAGTCTCCAACCAATAGGAAGCTAGGATTGTGATGACTTTTTATTAGATGAGTTGACCTAGTGTAAAATCAAAGCAGGGGTATAATTGTCATTATGAAAAATATGTTTAAATAATAAAAAAATAATAAAAAATATTTTTTTATTTTTCGGCCCATAATTCTGGTCGCCGGAATTCAGCTATCGGTCGCCGGAATCTGGTCGCCGATCACCGGAATATGCTTTTTTGTGGCCGAAATATGCTATTTTTTCATCGGAATATGCCACCGTCGCCGGAATATGCTCACCGTGGCCGGAATATGCTTACCGGCGTCGGAATCTAGTCATCGGGGCCGGAATATGCCTGTCGGCGCCGGAATCCGGTCACTGACGGTCATCGGAGTTTGGTCAATGATTTTCGTTGACCGGTCAACGGTCTTCATTGACCGGTCAACGCCCAACGACCACCGGATGTTATGGTCTGCATTGTGAGATTTATGGTTTGTTTTCTCATATTTTTGTATGCCTTTTGTGGTTTGCTTTATCGCGTTTGTGGTTTGCATTAAGAAGTTTCTGGTTTGCTTTATCGTGTTTGTGGTTTGCATTAAGAAGTTTCTGGTTTGCTTTCAAAAAAATTGTGGTTTGCTTTGTGAGGTTTCTGGTATGTTTTAATAGATTTGTGGTATGTATTCGAACGTTACTAGTTTGTTTTTGTGGTTTGCTTTCAAAAAAATTGTGGTTTGCTTTATGAGTTTTCTGGTGTGCTTTCGCAAATGTTGTGGTTTGCTTTGTGAGGTTTGTGGTATGTTTTAGTGGATTTGTGGTATGCATTATGGTGTTTCTGGTTTGCTTTATTGTGTTTCTGGTTTGCATTAAGAAGTTTATGGTGTGCTTTCGAAAAATTTATGGTTTGATTTGTGGGGTTTCTGGTTTGTTTTAATATATTTTTAGTCTGCATTAGGAGGTCTGTGGTTTGCTTTATCGTGTTTGTGGTTTGCATTATGAGGTTTCCGGTGTACTTTAGGAATATTTGTGGTATGCTTTGTGGGGTTTTTGGTTTGTTTTAGCAATGTGTTGTACAAAATTCTGTGGTTTGGTTTGTGAGGTTTTTGGTTTGTTTTAATAGATTTGTGTTCCGCGTTAGGAAGAATCTGGTTGTTTTATGTGGTTTGCTTTGTCGTGTTTGTGGTTTGCATTATGTAGTTTTTGGTGTGCTTTTGAAAATTTTATGGTTTGCTTTGTGGTGTTTCTGGTATGTTTTAGGAGACTTGTAGTTTACAATAGGAGACTTCTGGTATATGAGAAATATAAGAATGTATACCAAAAATACAATAATACATACCGATAATTCCTTAATAATTACTATAAAAGGTTGAATGAAAATGCATTCCATATTTGAAAAAGTGCACATAAAACAATACAATTGTATACTGAAACTCCTAAAATATTAAAAAAGAAATATGAAAATGAATACTATTATTCAAAAAAAAAAAAACCACATAAGTTACATGGCATATGTGTAAACAAATGGCAGATCAGATCAACAACTTCTTGATTAGACACCTGGGAATTGGAAAGGAGCAAAATCTAATCAGTTTTCCCCAATCAATACAAACTCCTCAACAGGAATTATGAACAAAGTGAGAATCAATCTCTTACCTTATCCCACAACCCATCGGAGGCCAAGATCAAGAACTCGCAATCAGATTCAATCCTCACAATTCTGGTCTTCGGCTCGGCAACCACGAACTCCTTGAGATGCCCGTCGCCGATCCCTCTCGTCACGGCGAGAGATTCCTGAATCCTCCAAACACCCCTGGAGCAATCCACGTAACCGCCAAGGGCCTCCACTCGCTCCTTCTAGTCCGGGCGAGAAGCTTGATGGTCGGACGTGAGCGTCTCCGCCACTCCTCCCCTGCTCATCTCGGTGCGGCAGTCGCCGGCGTTCGACACCACGAGGTTGCCGTCGTTGATCAACGCTGTTACGCAGCACACTCCGCCGTGAGCGTTTTCGTTGAGGAAATCAGCGTCAGTTTTCAAATACGCCTTCCTGATCGCCTCTTCGAATTCGTCAACGTCAGATCTAGACGACGACGAAGACGATACTTCGGCGGTGATGTTTTCCCCCAAATTCTTCGAAGCGAACTCAGTTGCTCTCGCACCGCCGTGTCCGTCGAAGACTCCGAACATAGCATGCATCAATTGAGAAGCGGAATTGAGTTTTTGACCTAATTATTTTTTCTTCATCTTCTTCTTTTAACCGCACCAAAGAGTGGCGGTGGCGGCTGCCATTTCGTCGCTCAATAATAAAGAGGCCTCTCGATTTCACGGGAAGCAACTGCGAGAAGAGATCTAGAGACGAAGAGGGGAAGGCTGGGGATTGAATATTTATTTATTTAATTTTAATTTGTTATTTTGTGTCAGTTTACCCTTTTACCCTTAATGAATCTTGTTGTTACTATAACAACACTATGAGTGTTGTTATACTATCCGCTCTCTTCATTTAGACGGATCATGTGTAAATTTTATCTAACAAAATCCTAAGGCCTCAAGCCCGCCGCTCTCACCTCTCATTCTCTTGATTCTCTCTCCCTCTCAGTTGCTGTCGAAAACGAAGGGAGTTGCTAAAGGTCGCCCTTAAAATTGCTAAAGGTCGCCCTAAAAAGAATCAAAGTTACACTTTTACCCCCTCAGCTTCTTTATCTTCCATTTATCAAACAAACACCACTTGGACTAAAAAAACACTATCTAAGGAGAGAAAAATCCATCATCGTCATTTTGAAGCCGATATCGTCGGAGTAGCGACTCCGACGAGGTAAATACATTAACTGAAAAACGAAAAAAAAAAAGGAACCGCGGTCAACCTGCGGTTGGACCATGGCTGGACCGCAAATCACCTGCGGTTGGACCATGGCTGGACCGCAAATGACCTGCGGTTGGACCATGGCTGGACCGCAAATCACCTGCGGTCCAACCATGGTCCAACCGCAGGTCATTTGCGGTCCAGCCATGGTCCAACCGCAGGTGATTTGCGGTCCGGCCATGGTCCAACCGCAGGTTGACCGCGGTCAGCCGTCGGTTCAACCGCGCGTTGACCGCGGTTGACCGTCGGTCTAACCGCGGTTTGACTGCGGTCGGCACGGTTTTTTTTTTTTTTACCTTCTTCTTCTCCGACGAAGCCTTCTTCTCCGGCGAAGGCTGCTGCGCGGGTGGGATCGCGGGAGTTCGGCGCGATGGAGCGAGGTGCAGAGAGAAGGGAACGCAGGAGAAGGTTTAGGTTTAGGGCTTGTTTGTTTGTTTCAATTTTGATTTTTTCATTAAGGGTATACAGGTAATTTGACATATAAGTTAGGGCGACCTTTAGCAATTTTAAGGGCGACATTTAGCAATCCAGAAAACGAAACCCTTTCCTCTCTAACCAGTGCCCCCTCTCTCTAATCCTCTAACCCCTCTTTTCTTCTCTTCCCTTCTAGAAGAAAATGACCATGACCGCCTTTCTCTCACGCCTCTCTTTTTCTCTTCTCGCTCCCTCTCCGTTGCTTTCAAAAACGAAACCCTATCCTCTCTAACCAGTGCTGCCTCTCTCTAATCCTCTAACCCCTCTTCTCTTCTCTTCCAGAAGAAAACGACCCTGTCCGCCTTTCTCTCTTGCCTCTCTTTCTTCTTCCTCTGCCTCCTCTGGGACGGGAAGAAACATGAAAAATCTCTTCCTCTGAAACACGAGCCAAAACATAGAAACAAACAAGACTCATTTCCCTCTCTTCGATCGACGGATAGAAGAAACGACTTGTACCCGGATTGACCAAATAAAAACGATCTAGTTAAGATCCTGGCCTGCAGGGCTATTTGTTTATTTGATTTTTGGGTTTCGAATAAGGTTATAGCTTCTTTCTTTTTTTGGGTTATAGGTATAATATGCACCTCTAAAAGCCATCAACCATGGTCCAACCTTGGTTGGGGCGACATTTATGTCTAAAATATTCCTAATAATTTCACTTTAGAATTGTTTTGTTTCTTTTGTATTGCCAAATACCTCTAATAATTTCACTTTAACGAGACCTGGAGAAATAAACGAGAAAAAACTGACATTTCACCCCCAATATTTCCAATGTCGGGTCGTGGTTAACCATTTTAATGAATATTTTAAGTTTTAACATAAGGGCATGTTTAATAATTTTTCCAAAGTATAGGGGCATGTTTGATGTAAAAAATAATAGAGGGGCTTGTTTGATAAAACTGCATAATAGAGGGGCATATTATACTTAATAACCCTTTTTTGTAAATTTTAGCAGCAGAATGTTTCGGGAAGACGGAGAGTCGCCGGCGACGAGGGTATTTTCCGCCGGTAGTGATGAAGACTATGACGAGATGGGATTTTAAAGGTGGGTTTTCTGGTTTTGCATGTCCTATTTGGTGTTTATTAGCTGGTTTAGAGTTCTAATATATTTTTTGTTTCGATCGAGTGGAGGAGAAGAAGGAAATCTTTGGCGGCTAAGATCTTCGTCGGCAAATCTCCGCCAGCTATGGTTTGACAACGGTAGTGGCGGGTGAGGTTTGGTTTAGTTAAATTTTTTATTCTCTTGACTGGTATCACTTTAATAGATTCTGACCTCTACCTTTGTTCTGCTCAGGTTTTTTGAAATTGACAGATCTGGGTAAGGTTTCTAAGCTCAGCTTAGTATGACTGGGGAGGTGATAATTGTCGTAAACATATTGATATTATGTGCTTAATGTGATTATTTCATGATATGTTTGAGATATATAATGCTTGTTTTAAGGCCAACTGACTGTGGAATGGTTATTAGACCATTACCGCCATGTGTTAATATTGTGACATATTTTAGGCGGAAAAGCGAAAGAGTATGGAAGCATGTGCAGTTGGCGAGTACGTATTGGACTTGAAGCCCAGCAAATGAAAAGGAGCTTTGGGCCGGAATTTTTCTCGGAAACATTTGGGTTGCATTCTTGGAATTAAAATGACCGAGTCCTTTGTCCTCTAACAAAAAGGGTAATTGGATTTGGAGGTGGATTATCGGTGGACCATCTCCGTTGTCCTTTAGCTGGGGGAATTCTTTTTGGGACGTGATTATTCTTGGGGGCAATTAATTGCAAGGGGAGAAGAATTGGACACGAACAGAGAGAGGAAGCAGTAGCGCGAAACGGAGAGGAGCACAGCTCGGAGCAGCTGGGGAACACAAGCAGCTGTCGAGCGGAGCAGCGAGATTATCTGAGCATTTTTGTTTTGTATCTTTTTTAATATCATGATGAACAACAAGAATTTGTGATTCTGGAGATGGAAGAATGTATTGGTGAAGGTGGAGAATGTATTGGTGAAGGTGGGGAAGTTTAGTCTCCCAACAGATTTTGTGATTCTGGAGATGGAAGAAGATTGGGGAGTGCCTCTCATTCTTGGTAGACCTTTTCTAGCCACGGGCAATGCACTCATCGATGTCGGGAGAGGCAAGTTGACATTCCGAGTAGGTAAGGAGGAGGAAATTTTTAATGTCTTTCAAGTTGACCATAGTCACGATGCATTTGATGACTTGGAAAGTGGAGCTCGAGAAAGGAAAAATTCCACTTCCTGTGATAGTGGACCATCCAAAGAACTATCACATGTCCTAGCAGCTCAAAGTCTGAAATCAAAGCAAGGGCAGAAATCCTTGCCAGATCACCTCAAGTATAGATATTTGGGTAAGGATTTCAATCTTGCTGTTATTATTCCTTCTTCACTGACATTGAAACATGAAGAGTACTTCTTGAGGCACTGCAATACCACCTACGCCTCAGTAAGGGGTCCAACATGCAAGCTAAGAAGGTCATACCCAATTTTCGCACACCTGGTCCTGCAGAGGTGTCTCATATGTTGGATGGAGGTTATGCATTCTATCATTGCTTGGGTGGGTATTCTGGATACCTTTCCATACCCATTGGTTGAAAGCTCCATGAACGTCAGGCTGAGGACGTTAAACAAGCGCTTCTTGGGAGGCAACCCAAGGTGAGTTTTCTTTCTTTTTGTTTTGTTGTATCAAACCCGTGCATGTTTAGATTAGGAGTTGAACATTAGGGACAATGTTCCATTCTGAGTGTGGGGTGGTGAGCCTTAGTGTTGTTTGTCCCTGTTGCATGTGGTAAAAAAAAACTGTCATGTGGGTTGTGTACAGCCAAACTGCATGCAGTCTACCTGTGCTGGTGCAGATTGCCTGTGCTAACCTAATGGCTAAAAAACACCGAAAAATCAGGAAAATTAAAAACAAAACCTTGTACTCTTGTGGTAACATGATGCAAATGACTGTGATGCATTTGAAATGAGTTTGTGCATGAATGAAATCATCAAAATCACCCACTTGTGTTGAATTGCAAAGTTCTTCACAATGAGCTTGATAGTTTGACTGACTGGATATGCTTTGAATGAGCAAAGTCTTTTAGCAAAACTCTATTTTGCGAGGATAATGTAATGACTTTGGGTGAAGTAGTTAGGTGGAGAACATTGACCATTCGACATGTTTGGATACCGTGCTTACTTGCATCTGTTGTGAGCTTTTGACTTTGCATGGAGTCTCTCTGTTTTAAAAGGTTTTATGATGGGGTGAACTGTATCTTTATAAATGAGAAAACCCTACCTGACAAGTAAAATATAAGAAAGTTTCCATAACAATTAAAGTGTGGGTAAAAAATACCAAAATCGTGTGAGGCAATCACTCATTGCACGGGGGGATTAGGAAAGGTTCAATTGAGCATCGGTTCGCGACCGTACGATGTTGCTTATCAAGTACGATCCCCCGTTGAGCGAAGTGCCATTTGAGGATGTGCAGTGACCCTCCACACGGACCGAGGAAAAGGAGTTGAAAGAAGCCCTTATGTGAGTGCTAAGAAGCGGAAATTGCTCTTGCTCGGTCACCGGTAGTAAGAACACAAATCCCACTTGTACTAAATACGACCACTCGGCAAGCAATATCAGAAAGAGAGAAAGACTCTCCTTGTCAGAAAAGGTAGTGATGTGCTTAAAGTTAAAAT